ACAGGTTATCAATTCTTAAGTACCACTGAGTCCATTCCATTTCATTCCAAATCTCTATAACCTGAGATTAGTGCTAAATTAAACTATACTTTTCCAGTAAGTTTCCTTTTCATATCCTCCCCAGCCCAGCTGCCCCAAGCATTTGAGAATAGGCTACTTGGCCCTCCTAAGGGCTAATTCCTATCATAGTGACCAGGTCCTATTTTCAGTGGACTGAACTCATGCATCATTACAGCATCCAACTTAGAGAATCAAATTGCTATGCACTGTGAACATCATCAGGGCACAGCAAGGGAAACCCATGTATGATACCCAAGACGTCCCATCTTCTCCTGGTCTTGTTTTCACCATAAACCTACTTCGGGGATTTCAGTGCTAAAACAGGGACTATGGTTGCATTTTGTCTCTCATTGGTGATGCATGGATATGGCCCACATTAAATGTACTCAAGGAGTCCATCCTTTGCAGGGTGTGTCTAAAAGAAACTCTGCAGTGCCAGTGCCAACAGCTCCCTCCTGTGTGTCTGCTTGGGCCCCACCACTGTCTGGAAGAGTGGGGATCCTCAGAACAGGCTAGGGTACAGTACTCCAAAGAACAGGTTAGAGGGAGGACCAAAGAAGATCTGGGGGACATGTTTCTAATTTGGGATGGTAAGTAGTAAGGATTGGTTAAGTTCCCAGGATCATTTGAATCTGTTTTTACTGAAATGATAATAAATTTGTTTAGCTAATTTTGTCTCATTCATGGTAAGTACTGTGAAATTGTTGCTGATGACAGTATCATTATCCTTTTCTTGGGGTTGTGTAAACCAGCTCTTTCAAAGTGCCATAACAGATTTATCCAAGGTCCTGGTAAGTAGCAGAGCTCAGGACCCACATACCAGAGTCCTCTGACTCCAACTCCCTGGGCTTTGCACCTCCCTGCCTCCAGCCAGTGGTGACTGCGGTCTGCTCCTGTCCAGATAAAGATGCGGTTTGGCTTTAATTCTTCACTTTCTCTTGCTCATCTTGTTTAGCAGTTGTGATAACCTTAGGGCAGCTCATGGTACTGTCTACCCCCCTCCCACACTCCCCTCACTCCTTCAAGTGACCAGACATTAGGGCAAGTACAGGGGGATTTCCGTCTTGTTCCTATGTGGTCTTTGATTTTTTTGGAGTAATCAGAAAAAAAGTACCTCATCATATGTGCCATCTGAATTCCTCTTTTCTGCCATTTGTGTTTACATTAGAAATAGCATTGTGTTTGTAGGGTATCTAGCTCTGACACTCTTCACACCCATTTCCCAGGTTGTTTTAGTAGCTCAACACAAGGGCACAGTCTGTGCAGTCAAGGAGAACCTGGGGGAACATTCACACATCCTTGCACTTCTCATCAATGTGAGTAAACCTGATGTGGTTCTTACAAACATAGTGATTGGCAACAAGTCTTCTCTGTCCCACTCATTCCAGCTGTTCATTTATTGGATGGTATCACACATCTGCACCAGTGTTAATATAAGGAGTGCTGGGGCCTATATTTCACTGGGTTCCACAGAAAACAGCATCTTACAGCTTCCAATCCATGAGGGACCTAAGACTGTGGGCCAGACATTGACGAGAGACAAACAGAACATGGATCCGAACCCACATGTGCCTTCTTCATGTCCTCTGCCCCCACCCACTCTCTGTGAGCTCCTCTCTGCAGCAGTTTTGCCCCTACTGTGCACTGATTAGATAGCACAGTCCTTCCTGGTGAGGCTTATTCCTTGTTTCAGGAATCTCAGGTGGGGGAAGGGAAGTGAGCTCAGAGATGCTCACCTTGCCTCAGTGCTGAGTACATGTAGTGGGCTTTCTTCTAACCATAAAATGGACAGTACAGATGTTCATTTGGCTGAATTCCTAATTTCCTACCATGACTGCTAATGTGTTCAAAAAATAAAAATAAACAATAAGGACTTTGTCAGTGAACCCTCACCATCACTGCAGTCTCTGGTCCTTCCTGTACTCCCATGTCTGAGGATCACTGACCACAGCCAGGAAATATCACCCCCATGGAATTACACTTGAGCATTACACCAAATCTTTGCCAACTAAATAAAATACACAGAGACTGTGCTTAAACATGACTGGTGTTTTCTAACATACCAGACTAAACTTTCTATCCTTTCCATATATGAAGAGTAAGCTTCTATGAACCACTGAAACGATTAAAATATACCTTCTGATCGAAAAATAGTTGTTCCTTAGAAATAGTATGGATGGAGGATTTTAGTATCTTTTCTACTCATGTAGCTTGTCTTTGGAAAACATCAGAGATCTTTGCTCTAAGAATCTCTGACTAATAATTATCACCACTCCTGAGTATTTGTTATATACTGTATATGATGGAGGGGACCATGGTTTCAGAGATAAGGCTTGATTCTGTCCTCAGATAACCAGGTTTAACTTGGAGGCAGTTAAGAGACAATAGTTAGTGCAAAACAAGAATTACCTGGAGTGAGGAGGCAAAAACAGTGTGAAGGGTGCAAAGATGGCTTGGGAAGGTCCAGAAAGTTCTTCTAGATAGGCCTCACTCTCTGGAGTTGGTTCCAAAGTTGAATGAAATAACTGACAATTAAAGCCAGTTTAGGTGGAACAGAATATGTGCAGAGGATGTTAACCAGTCCATGAAGATTAAGTGAGAGAAAGGAACGAGACTTGCTAAGCACTATGCAGAGGGAGAGGCATCATCTAATAATGCCCTTGACACCCAATGTAGAACAGCATGGGAACAGGCCCAGGGCTGTATGAAAGAGGCCTTGCAACATACCCCCACCTCCTTCAACAGATCAGCAAAGCTTCCAGGGCAGTAGTGCTCTGGCTCAGTTTAATGAATAGGGCTTTCCTTGTGGTCAGGGAAATGGGTGAAAGGGCAGTTTAAAAGGGGAGCTTATATAGAAGATACTGGAAAATGAATGACAATTTATACCGAGTTGTTCAGCATCTAATACTGCAAGATGCTAGATGTCACCATGAGATGTGGAGACAGACTCTGGACAAGACACATAAGTAAAGCTCACCATTTCACTCTCCTATTTAATATCCTCCAATGGCCCATTCCCCTTGCAAACAAAATAAAATCCAAGTTCCCTAGCCTGATCCACAATGTCAGGATGATCAGGTCCTGCCACACCCACTGACCTGCATCACTCTGGCATCTCTCTCTGTCTCTTTTAAAGGACAGAATGATGTCTTCCTTTCCCAGGGCATTTGCATTTGCTGTCCCTGCACTGCTCAGTCCTCATCTTTCAGATTCTAGCTCTGAGAGTCTTACATTAGTACCTAACACAGAAGCTCTATTCCCCTCCCCTGCCTGAGACCATCTCTTCCCATCTCCCTGTTTAGCTATCTCATTGTACTTATTAAACCTAAAAATGTGTATTACTTTGTATTATTGGCTGCCCCAATAATATTATAGGCACTATGGAAAAAGAGACTTATTCTCTCTCTTAGACACTGCCCTGTCTCCAGTCTCTAGAAGACCTGGCAGAGACCTGCTAGAAAAATGACTGTCATGAGAGTCAATAAGCTAAGGAGTGTTCACAGTCAGAAGAAATTATTAGTTTAAAAGGTTTTTCAGAGAGAAAACTGAAAGGCTGAGTGGGTGAAGATCCACAAGGAACTACATCATAAAAGGTTCTTAGGAAAGGATCTTAATTAGTAAGCATGACTGTATTCACTGAATGGATTCATTGTGAAATACTGGAGATTTAGACCAATGAACTTAAAATTCCATCTGTGTAATACTAAATGCATCCTTTAGTCTGATGGGACATAGGCACTGTGATATGTCCTCTGGAGGGTCATCTTTTAACTCATTCACTGTCATTTCTTCAGATGCTGGTTTTGGGTCAGGCTCTCAGTCACAGGATTGATGGACTTAAGGAGAACCCAGCTTGAAAGACCAAGCCAATCAGAAAAAGTGAAGTATACAATATCTGGCAATGCCTCACTAAATTACTAGGATTTTTCAATAGTACATATTTATGCATTATCTATATGGTTTCTTATAAATTTTTGAAATAAAAATAACATAAGAAGTAAAGACAATTTTTAAAAAGTCACTCTTCACTCAATACTTACATATCTAGGAATTTATCCTAAGAACAAAATTCAACAGAAAAGATGTGTAACAATGTCAACTAAACCTTTCTTTGCAAGTAAACCAAACAACAAAAGAGAATTCATCAACTTGATGGAGAATTGTATAGCTATTAAAAATGATGTCCATAGAAAACACTCAGAAATATACATGACAAAATATTCAAATGAAAATAACATGATACAAGGTAACATTAGTCTAGTAGGTTGGGTAAAAACAGACTTTAGAAAATGATGATGCTGATCCAAATCCAACTTAGCTATATGAAAACAAATGACCTTGAGCATGTCCTTTAATCTCACTGAGCCTCTGTTTCATTATTTGTAAACCAGAAATACCAAAATTCTAAAATCTATCTCATAGGAACAAGTGTTTTTTAACTAGAATTCACCTACTATAAAATTTTTATTGAAATACTCCTTTAAAAATATTCATGTGATTCCCTTTTCATTTTGCTTTTTTATTTTCAGCCATACAGAAGCTTTTTATTTTGGCAAAGTCTCATTTGCTTATTTTATTTATTTATGTATTTATTTATTTTTTGTTCAAGTACAGTTGTCTCCATTTTCACCCCACAGTACCCCCCACCCCACCCATACCCACCTCCCACCCTTGAACCTACATTCTTTGACTTTGTCCATATGTCCTTTATACATGTTCCTTGATGGCCCTTTCCTTATGTCCCTTGCTCTAGGGGACATATGGGTGAAAATACTGCTGCATGGAATATCTGAGATTTTCCTGCCTATGTTTTCCTCTAGGACTTTTATGGTGTTGTGACTTATATTTAAGTATTTTATTCACTTTGGGTTTAATTTTGTATAAGGTATAAGTTGGTGGTCAAGTTTCTTTCTGTCTTTTTTTTTTTTGCATGTAGCTATCCAGATATTGGCCAATGATACCTTGGAGAAGGATTTGATCTCCAAAATATATAAAGAACTCACATGATTCCACACCAGGAAGACAAAAAATGCAATTAAAAAATGGGCAAAGAACCTGAACAGACACTTCTCCAAGGACATACAAAAGGCCCAGAGATATATGAAAGGATGCTTAGCATCAGTAGCCATCAGAGAGATACAAATTAAAACCACAATGAGATACCACTTCACAAAGGACAGAATGGCCATCATAAGCAAATCAACGAACAACAAGTGCTGGTGAGATTTTGGAGAAAAGGGAACCCTAGTGCACTGTTGGTGGGAACGCAAACTGGTATAGCCACTGTGTAAAACAATATGGAATTTCCTCAGGAAACTAAAAATGGAACTGCCTTTTGTCCTGGCAATTGTACTGCTGGGATTATATCCTAAGAATCCTGAAACACTAATCCAAAAGAACCTATGCACCCCAATGTTCATAGCAGCACAATTTACAACAGCCAAGAGTTGGAAGCAACCTAGGTGCCCATCAGTAAATGAATGGATCAAAAAACGATGGTACATTTTCACAATGGAATACTACACAGCAGAAAGAAAGGAGCTTCTACCCTTTGTGACAGCATGGGTGGATCTGGAAAGCATTATGGCTAAGTGAAATAAGCTAAGACAAACACTGTATGATCTCACCTATAAGTGGAACCTAATCAACAAAACAAACAAGCAAGCAAAATTATAACTAGATATATTGAAATAAAGAACTAACTGACAGTAACTAGAGGGGAGCAGGGAGAGGGATAACACAGAAATGAAGTGTAAGGGTTGTCAAGGAACATGTATAAAGGACCCATGGACAAAGACAAAAGGTGAGTAGGATTGAGGGTGGGAGGTGAAGGTGGGTGGGGTGAGGGAATGTGGTGGAGGGAAATGGAGACAACTGTACCTGAACAATAATTTAAAAAGACAAAAACAATTAAAATTTAATATAGTAAAAACTAAAAGTAAATAAGTAAAAATATTCATGTGAAAGTCACTTACTCTCATAAATTGTCACCTTTGCAATACACTTTACATTTCAGATTTAACTCTGACATCTCATCAATGAAATAACCAACAGGACCTGCTGCTATGTTGTGAAGTGCTTTGCAGGACCTGATAACTAGAGGATCTTCCTGGTAAGTGATACATAAAAATTAAGAACTAAGATAAAGCAGTAGAAATAAAATGCTAATAACCTCAAGAAGTTACACTTCTAGTTTTGTTTTCTTGCATTGCATTCTCATTTCCCATCATAAGTAATTTTCATTCAAAAGAAGTTATAATGAAGTTTCTTCATTATAAGTTCAGAAACTTAAGAAAGGTTGAATGATGAATAGAGTATAAAAGAAGGGAATAATAAATCATGTAGAAGAGAAAAAGAAAGCAAAATGAAAGAATGTGTGATGAGAACAGATGAAATAGAATAATAAATCTGTGTATTATGTTGACAGATGTGATCCACATGATGTACCATTATATCTGTGAGCAGCACTCAATATATTTGGTAGTCTCATTTCAGCTCAACAATTCTAAATCTATACAATTTAGAAACACTGAGATAATATGGTTTGCCGTTTCTGGCTAACAAATTTACCCTTGAAGGCTGTATAGATGGTCCCACACTTGGCTGCAAATACTAGCATATTTGTTCCTGCACCATTGGCAGCATTTGATGAATATTCTAAATACCAATATTTTAATGCCTCTTTTATAAGTTTATTGGGAAATTTTATACTCTGTTATCTAACAATGTTTGTATTTATAGTTGGTGCTATAAATTTGAAACATTGCAGTATACACTCCAATCTATCTCAATCCAGACAATGAATGGGAGTGGGAATTAATGTGCTTCTTAAATGTAAGGCACAGACAAAATTATTATGGTTTCCTGTTCTCTTTATGATTCTCATGAGTAAATAATTATTGGACTAAATATTTCAGCACTGGGAATTTCCAGTACAGTCAGAGTCATGTCTTCACATGGCCTAGTTCTCCTGGTTTTAGGATCATCTTAAATATCACAATGAGTTGTGGATTTATCACCATGTGAGGAAAACAGAACCTATAGCTCCTGACACTGCTTTTGTCCCTGGCAGGAAGCACAGTGGTACAGGACAAGGAGCCAGCCTGGGAGCAGGTGTGAGCAACTCACATGGGAATGAAGAGCGAATTTCAGAGCCAATAGCCCACCAGTGCCTCCTACATTCACATGGTCATTTGCTTTTGCTTCTTTTGATCCATCTTGGCCCTTTTCTTCCTACAGCTTATCACTGTAGTTTCTTCCTGGCAAGCTTGCCTCCATATTGGGCTAATCAACTGCTTAATTGGAAACAGGGATTTCTTTGCCTGAAATTCTTGCACATTTCTTGGGAGTATGTTTACAGTACTAAACAACCTTAAGATTACAAAGACTGAGTGCCTGTCAGCAATCCAAGTTCAGTTTTCTCCCCACTGCTGACTTCCAGTGCTAACCATGCAGATGGAGTATGTGCCACAACACAGGACTTCTCTTTTTCACTTCCCCCTCAACACACCCCACAGCATCTGTGCAAGCCTTGAGTAACTGTACAATACAAAACAGACACCCAGTGAATGGTACTTTCCCTTTCCTTCCTGCAGCATTTGGGGTTAGTCACCAAACTTGCTATAGGGAATGAATGAGTTAAGCAAAAAGCCGGGGGAGAACAGCTTAAGGACTAGCAACAGGAGCTTTGGTGTCAACTGGTTTTGAACTCTGGCTTCACTATTTAGTAGCTAGAAAGCTAGTTTTTCTTAAGAAAATGACTTAAACTGATTTGTGGGATGCCCCATCCTGTGGAGTCTCCTGGCTGCCATGGATGAGAATAAGTCATCCTAGACACAATCTGTTGTTCTGGTGGGAAAGGAGGTGGTGATTCCTTCTAGTGGAGAATGCCCTGAGCCCTTCTCCAAAATGGCTTTTATTGGGATTGGTAGGTGCAGGATATACAGCACACATGCATAGCTCATTAATCAATGTCCAAAGCCCATAGTTATAAAAAAAAAACCCCTGATATTATCTATATAGATGACAATTGAAGAAACACAGAGATCTACCTCAGGTCAGGGTCTGCTGGACATGCTGGCACCAGGTGGTTATTAAGGTATATTTCCTAAGATAAGGAGTTTACTCTTCATGCTTTTAACTTAAACATCTGGTTTACATCACCAGGGCTATAGCAAAACAAAGCATACAATGGGTACAATGTATACTTTAGGCCTGATTTCCCAAGGGAACTCTAGGTGTTAGCATCGGGTCATGCCTGCCACCTGCATTTGGCTTTCTAGTTGAAACTTATAGGCAAGGCCTTGCTTGTGTGGGGCTACACACTTCGAAACCATACAAAGTTGTCCCCAACACTGATTCTCACTTTTCTCATGTGCAAAATAAGGATAATACCTCTTAGACAATAGGATGGTTAAAAGTAACGAACTATTGCATGCAAAGCATTAAGCAGTGCTTACCACACAATATATACTCAATTGTGAAAATAAAGCATGTTAATTTTTTTAAAAACCATACTTGCTAATTAGAGAAATGCAAAACAAAATTGCAGTGAGCCACTATCTGAGACAGAAAAAAAGAAAGAGAAAATAAATAGTGAGAATTGGAGAGGATATAGAAAAACAGAACCCTTGTGCACTGTTGGTGGGAATGTAAATTGGCACACCACTCTGGAAAACAGTCTGGAGTTACCTCAAAAATTAAAAAATAACTGCCTTATGACGCAGAAATTTCATTTCTGGGTATTTATCCAAAAGTATTTCAAGCAGAATTTCAAAAAGATATTTACACACCCATATTAATCATCCTTATTTACAACAGCCAAGAGGTGGAAGCAGCCAGATGTCCATTGATACATGAATACATAAAAAATGTGGTTGATATGTACTGTGGAATATGATTCATCCTTTAAAAGGAAGGACTTTCTATAACAGGCTGCAACATGGATGAACACTGAGGACATTATGCTGAGTAAAATAAGCCAGTCACAAAAGAAACAAATACTATGTGTTTCCACTTATGTGGTATACTTCAAATCATCAAAACTATGGAAACAGAAAGTAGAGCAGTGGGTACCAGGGCTGGGGGAAGACGAGATGGAAAGTTGTTTGATGTGTATAGGGTTTCAGTTTCACAAGAAGGAAAGGTTCTGGAGATCTATTATGCAACAATGTGAATATAGTTGATATACTGTACACTTAAAATGGTTAAAAAGGTAGATTTTATATTACATGTTTTTTAAATTAAAAAACTTAGATAGTGCACACTAAAAAAAAGAATGTGTCTACAGGGATGTGCTCTCCAGGTTTCTTCCAAGGCCAGATGGAGAAAGGGGACAAGAAAGGAGAGATGAAGCTGAAGAAGTGAAAAAAGGCTGCCAGCTCCTACGCTGGTTCCTCAGGTTAACAGGAGAGAAAAGGCCTGTCACATAGGAAAGACTAAGCAGAGAATCCTTTCTCCCTCACATTGAGGGAGGGTGACTCAGACAGCACCTGAAACAACACTTCAGGGATCAGCAAGTGCCTGTGAACACATCTGCATAAATGTTGTGCCTCAGAATTGGAAATGAGAGGTGTTGAGAGGACATAAAACTCCAAAAAGATGGGAAAGAAGAGGGATAGGAGAGAAAGCCCAGTTTGGAGTCAGAGTAATGAGTTGAAATCCTCTTTCTACTACTGGCTTGTCCTCCCTGGGAATGGCTTTACTCATAAGCACAAAAGGGCTTGATTATAGAATTCTATTTCTTGTTCTCCATTTCTCTGAAGATAATCTTTTTTTTAAAGATTTTATTTATTTATCTTTAGAGAGGAAGAGAAGGAGAGAAGGAGAGAAACATCAATGTGTGGTTGCCTCTCATGAGTCCCCTGCCGGGAACTGGCCTGCAACCCAGGCATGTGCCCTGACTGGGAATCGAACTGCGATTGTGCAGTTCGCAGACCCGCGCTCAATCCACTGAGCTATGCCAGCCAGGGCTGTGAAGATAATCTTTAAGTATTTTTAAAAGGCAATAATGAGATTCTTTCTACTTCCAAAGACAAAGAAGGAAATTTCATCATGTAAAATGGGGGACAGAATAAACTTTATACAATTAAGCTAATATAATGAATATTTTTCCCAAAGGGAAATAATGTAATTTTTTTACCTGGGATTTTTATTTTTAAGTATATTTTGTTGGTTAAGTTATTACAGTTCTCCCAATTTTTCCTCCACTACCCCTCCACCTAGTATTCCCCTTACCTCCAGCAACTGCCCCCCACTTAGTTCATGGTCATGGGTCATGCATATAAGTTATTTGGCTTCTTCATTTTCTGTACTATTCTTAACATCCCCTTGTCTAATTTGTACCTACTAATTTTGCTTCTTAACGCTGCACCTATTCCCCCCATTTCCCCCTGCCCACTCCCTAATGATACCCTCCATGTGATCTCCATATCTATGATTCTATTCCTGTTCTAGTTGTTTGCTTAGTTTTTGTTTTTTAGATTCAGTTGTTGATAGTTGTGACTTTATTGTTATTTTAATGTTCATAGTTTTTATCTTCTTTTTTTTAAACAAGATCTTTAACATGTCATATAATAAGAGTTTGTTGACAATAAACTCCTTTAACTTTAACTTTTCTAGGAAGCAGTTTATTTGCCCCTCCCTTCTAAATGATAGCTTTTCAGGATAGAATAATGTTGGTTGTAAGTCCTTGCTTTTCATCACTTTGAATACTTCTTGCCAGTCATTTCTTGCCTGCAAAGTTCTTTTGAAAAATCAGCTGATAGTCTTATGGGAACTCCTTTGTATTTAACTCTATGCTTTTCTCTTGCTGCTTTTAAGATTCTTAATCTTTAACCTTTGACATTTTAATTATGATGTGTCTTGGTGTTGCCCTCTTTGGGTCCAACTTGATTGGAAGCACTCTCTGTGCTTCCTGGACTTGTGTCTACTTCCTTCATCAAATTAGGAAAGTTTTTTTTTCATTATTTTTTCAAATAAATTTTCAATTTCTTGTTCTTCTTCTCCTTCTATCATACCTATGATTTGGACATTGGCACTTTTGGAGATGCCCCAGAGTCTTATTCTTTCCTTGTGTGTTTTTGGTTTTTTTTTTTGAATTCTTGTTTCTTCACCTGTTCTGGTTGTCTATTTATTTCTTCCTTATGTTCCAAATGGTTGATTTGAATCCAACTTCTTTCCCTTACTGTTGTTTTGATCAAGAGTACAGCCAAGAAGGGGGCCCCAAAAAGGAATTTGGAATGGGGTCAGGAACTCAAGATGTCTAGGAAATATTAGAAAGACATATAAGATGTCCTCACCCCTCCCACCACAGGTGAGAGTTGGGGGAAGGGACACATTGAGCAGGAGCATGCAGAGCTGTTTTGTAAAGCAACAGCTTTGCAGCTAACCTCTGGCATGGCCATTTAACATATCTGTAACTTTTAACTGATTTCATAGATATGCTAAAAACTGTGGCCATGCTTTGAGCCAGGGGGATGGAAAGGGACTTCCCCCACCAAGATGTAACTGGGGGCAGATCCCCTAGGTTACAGAACTTACGTGAGAGCTTGGAGATGATTTGCTCCACAAAATGGGGCCACACCCACTCAGACTCATGATGGCAGCCCAGTAAACTTGGATTAATACAGGAGTGCTGGCAAGTATAGCCAATTGTGGGAGGAGTTGGAAATGGGCCTGAAGAGGAGGATTGGCATGGGGGATTTAAACCCTGACTTGGCAGCCATTGAGAAGAGAGCCATGCACAGCTTTGGTAGGGGAGAGGACCACTCAGTTTTGGCCAGAGTGCGGACTCCTGCAGCCCTGTGAGAGAGAATCACCATGTGGCTTTGGAAGAGAACTGCAATTCGGCATTGGCAGAGTGGCGACCTCATCCTCTCTGCGGCTTTGGTGGAGAGAAGAAGACCGTGAGGTTTTGGCCAGAGTGGGGATCCCTGCAGCTTTTGTAGAAGAGGACCACGTAGCTTTGGAGTGCTCCCTTTGGCCGCATGGCCGGGGAAGCAGGAAAGACTCTGCCTCGAAGAAGGGTGAAAGAACTCTTGCCAGTAGACCATGAGAAGGTGCCACATGGCTCTGGATTAATTAGAGATCCTGCCTAGATGGTGACACAGCTGATGGTGCCAGTAACCTGAGTCACAAATGTCTACTTCTTTTCCTGAGTTATGATTCCCCAAATTAGGGCAGGGGGAGAAGAAAGCACTGTGGGAATTTGTGGGTATCCAAAATGACTTTGATGTTTTAATGAGGAC